GTTTCTATCCGCAAGGGCAAGGCAATGACTTTGTCGTTGCAATTTGGTTGATTTGCGGGAAGAACAAGACAGTGGTATGGACTGCACAGCGGAATGATCCACCGGTCAACTCAAATGCAAAGCTAAAACTAACGATGGATGGCAAAGTCGTACTAATAGACGAGCAAGGAGGGGAGAAGATTATTGCGCGTAATGCTAGTGCGAAAGCTTCCTCTGCCTCCGTGCTTGATTCTGGAAACTTTGTACTATACAACAATAATTCCAGCATCATATGGCAGAGTTTCGATTACCCAACAGGTTTTCGTACAGCGAGCTGAAAAGAGCAACGAGTAACTTCAGACAAGAATTGGGAAAAGGATCTTTCGGAGCAGTTTACAAGGGAGAGTTGCACAAGGGTAGGAGGTTGATTGCGGTGAAGAGACTAGAGAAGTTGGTGGAAGAAGGAGAAAGGGAGTTCCAAGCAGAAATGCGAGCCATTGGAAAAACCCACCACAAGAACCTAGTTCGCTTGTTGGGTTTCTGTGCCGAGGGTTCTAAAAGGCTTCTGGTTTATGAGTACATGCCTAATAGCTCCCTATTAAAATAAAAATAAAACAAATAATTATAATAAAAAAATAAAATAAAAAAATAATTATTCTGGTACCCACAATTATAATGAGTACCATAGAATTTCTCTTTTTTTAATTCTCATCTATCCCTTCTCCATTAATCTCACCCTTATTTATTTTCACCTTAAGAAAAATCTAAGAATGAAAATATGTATTTTCTCTTGTTTTCCTCATTCTTAGGTATGTCATTTATAAAAGAAAGTAAAATTAGAGGGGGCGGGGAAGAGATGAATTTATAAGTTATCTGATACTTATCTATTTTTTGTGTATATTACTACTTCTACACTTATATAAGTAAAAATATCTAAATTTATATATATTAAGAAAATTAGTTAAATTTCTTAATTTTATCGATGTTACATAAAAATTAAACTTTACTTTCGAAACTACCTTGATAATATTTATTGACAATAGTAATCATATTTAATTTAAAGGATATTTTTTTAATAATAACATTGAATAATATTAAATTAGTTAAAATTTACTTATATTTTAAAAAAAATGTTTGCTTATATTTTTTTTTTTGGTGTTGGAAATTTTTTTTGGTGTTGATTGTTTGCTTATATATGAGTGTACATGTTCTTTTAACTTTTTTCAGGTCCAATTAAAAATTTATGTGGAATCTAGAAAAATAAACATGATTAACCGCATTTCATAATTCAATTCATACATACTACTAATAGAAAATAAAATTAAAAAACGTGTACATAAAATACCTTGAATATATCTCTAATAAATTTTTTTATCATTTTTGGCATCTTAAACTTCTTTTTTTTTTTTTCCTCTTTCGTCAAAAGTGACAGATTCCACAAATTTTAACCCTTTCTTTTTTGTTTAAGCTTATACCAAACAGATAAACTTATCGTTTCTGTATTTTTTTCTTCCTCCCATCATGTTTCTGTCGCTCCAAATTAACAATGGCTTATAAATTTTTGTGGCATTATTTACGGTGGGATTACCTGTTAACTAAATTGAATTATAAAAGTAATTTATTTAAACTAAATTAAACTATAAAATAGTTAAAAAAATTAAACCAAATTATCTTCTAATTTAGTGAATTATAATTCTAAAAATTTAAACTCTATTATAATTTAAACTGAACTAAAATAATTCGAACTCACATAAGTAAATACTATGAAATCACTAGTCGATGTTTTATTTACTTGAACTATGCTTTCTATTGAATTAAATTATTTTTGTACTCTAGATCAAACTTTTTCTTGTGATTTGAATGGAAAGAAACTAATTTTTATAGTAATTTAGTTTTTAAAATCAAATTTAATTTCAATTTAGTTTTTATGAAAAAAAACAGTTGAGTATTTCTTATAGTCTAGTTCAATTTAATTTTCTAGTAGTTAAGTTTAAAATAATTTTTGAATAGTCCTTTCAACATGGGTTAAATATTTTGTGTTAAATATTTTGAGGAAAAATGTAACATGTCTTAGATTTGACAATGGCTTTACTCCACGACACTTCACACAATTTCTCACTGATGAGAATCTTCTATAATAAATTTTTTTTAGATGTCTAATTACCTTTAAAATCAACTGTATATTAAAATGATAATATTTATTTAGAGATTAAAATAATATTAAATTGTAAGTATTAGAAGTTAAAATAATAATATTTATTTAGATAGTCCATTTTTTTTCATTTTATCGTGAATTTTTTTTTCATTTTTAGCTTGTCATTTATTATTTATATGTAATGTAATATGATATTAGTGACGATCTTGAACAAGAATTGGTGGGACAATTACTCGAGTTCCATTATTGGAGGGACACCAAAAAGTATATTATTTGATCTATATGGTATAAGAAAGTTACACAATTAAATTACTGTAACGACCCACCCTAGGCCATCACATCTAGAACTAACCAAAATAAAATAATATATATAATAAAGAAAATAGAGCAAGAGCCAGCTACGCTAGAGTGTAAATATACAATAATATATAAATTGTTTCCAACATATATAACATATTTTTATAGCAGAGTCATCATCCTCAGTAATGATTATACAGTAATCCAAAAAGATAATATAATTACAATATTATGAAAGTATCAAAATGAGACACCCTAGGTGCTGGTCAAGCTCTAAGTCTAGCCACCTCTTAAAGTAGTTACCCAAAAAGACTCCTTGCTATCGCAAAACCTCACACCTGATCTGCTCTCCCACATAGTGAGATCATCACAGTCCACATCATGGAAATATAAGGGTTAGCACATATAAAACCAACCATAGTACAATAAAATAGAATATGACTAAACTAGATATTCATCAATATGTATCCATACCAAGGGAATGACAACATTATAACAAGTCATTTCCATGCCAAATATAAACCAATCCAAAATCTAATGTATACACATCCATGCCAATGCATATATATTTTATGATAATAAAGAATCCATAATCCAATGTATACAATCCATACCATATGTATACATATTCCACATCCAAAACAAAGTCACACCACTGTATAATCCCATGATGTAACCAACACATCCAAACCAAATGTTGGCCTCAACACATCCAAACCAAGTGTTGATTCGGTGAAACATGTCATCAACCCATGTCTCACACCCAACCTCTCATGGAAAATATACAACTGGATTACGTCGTCACGTAACTCTGGTGATCGTGGCCACTTCATCCATCGGTATGACTCGGCCTTGGCCCCCTACCGGTAGCAAATAGAATACTTAGAGGAGTACTTCAGAATCCACCTAACATCTGAAGTGGTTTATTATATAACCTTTGGAAAAGTTTTACATTGGAATCCGCACCATGGGATTCCCAAATTCCATATTTTTCCAAAGATTATATCTTGATCTCACCAAGAGATCTAATCCATACCATAATCTTACTCCTCTAAGTCCTATTAGCTTTCCAAACCATACACACATATCATATTCCATAATTACATACAAACTTTTCCATAACCATACCAAATTATTCAATATAATAACATAAATAATTAAACACCTAAAAAAACCATCAACTTAAACACATGACAATCTTCATATAAACAAAATAGCATATTAAAATATTATACTACCCCTATCATGCTCATACATACTAGATTAAGTCTTATAAGTACTACCCTTACTTGGATAAACAGGAATCGAAACTAGGGCAGAACCTTCTCCTCTCCCTCCTCTTTTCTTCACTCTGACAGAACTTCCTTCTCTGGATTTCTCTTCCTCTCTCTCCTTTTTTCTTTCCCCTCTTCTCTCTTTCTTTCTCTCTCTCCTCTTTCTCTCTCTAGGGTGTCCTTCTCTCAGATTCTCAATTTCTCAACCCCTAGCCCCCTATTTATAGAATTCTGCTTACCTAACCCGAAACGGCCCGTTCTGAAAGCGGAACGCCCGTTCTGGGCCTGAAAAATCTACGTAAATTTTAGATCTGGAACGGCCCGTTCCGAAACCAGAACGGCCCGTTCCGGGACTCATCCAGAACGACCCGTGCTCCTTCCGGAACGGCCCGTTCCAAAACCAGAACGACCCGTTCTCCTTTTGGAACGGCCCGTTCTAGGCCGTTCTCAACTTCTTAACTAGTTTATTTTTTGTGCTTGGAACGGCCCGTTCTGCTTTTGGAACAGCGCATTCCAAATTACCAAAACACCCTATACCTTTATAAAAATTACGAAAATGTCATTAATAAATAATAATAATAAAAAATGGGTATTACAATTCTCCCCAACAATAAAAATTTTCGTCCTCGAAAATTCACTTACTTAAAAAGAGATATGGGTAATGATCCTTCATCCTATCCTCCAACTCCGAAGTAGCTTCATTAGTAACCTCATCCCAAATAACCTTCACCAGATTGATAGATTTACCTCGCAACTGTTTAACTTTTTTATCTGCCACTGAAACTGTTTGTTTCTCAAAAGTTATATACAACTCTACTCTCGTATAAACACATCCCTTTTTAAAAAAAATAAAATAAAATATTTAAATTATCCTTTTAAAAAAAATGAAATTCCTAAATTTACACCTCCCTTCCCCGCACCCCCCTTCTCTGCATCTACACTCCACACCCCTCTTCTTCCCAAAGTCTCTTTCCGTTCAATGTCATTAAGCAATATACTTTTACAGTCATTCTGAATAGAAAAAAAGGACTAGCCCCACCATAACCAGCATAAGAAATGCTCTTTGCTGATGAAGGATTTGACTCCGGTAAGTATCCTTTATACTAAAGCTTCTTTACAATGATTTTCTTTTATATAAGTGCTCGAGTTAGGATTGTTGACTCAGAATTTGAAGTATACAATCCATTCCTGGCCGATTTCTTTCTCAATACCGGGACATCACATGCATACATATGGTTCAACCATTGCGTAAAAAGTGCATGCATGGAACATTATCTTGTATCTGCATGTAAACTTTAGTCTGGAACGGCACCAGAACGGGCCGTTCTGCAAGAAGAACGACCCGTTCTACAATCAGTACGACCCGTTTTGCAAGCAGTACGGGTCGTACTGAAAGTAGTACAGGCCGTTCTGCTTGCAGTACGACTCCTTAGAATTTCTAAATACAATAAATTGATTTGAAATGACTTTATTGAACTCAATAATATTGGATGATAGAAATCATATATAGATGATCTCAAGAGAGCATAAGGGTGAGATTGATGAAATTTAATCCCAATAACTTCTCATACTATTATTTTCATGTATTACTACTATTATGTTTACCATCTTTTCAATAATTCCAATATTAAAATATGAACAATCTCATATTTATAATATTTGTGAGTCTTTCTATTTCAAATTTTTACTAGGATAACTGAAATTATATATATCTTCCAAGTCCCTAAATTTTGATAACTTATATATATATTTTATATATTATAGTGACTTATTACGCTTGCTTCAAAATCTCATGAAGCTCCCACGTCCGGTATAACCTATCCCACGTCCGATATATGAGCCACAAAGAGCAGCTCATACTCTTTGCTGCTCTCGCACTCACCACCACCATAATAACACCTGATCTCACGCCGGTTGAAAGAACCTACAAAAAATTCAAAAGTTGTACAAGATTAACCGAACACTCAAAACATCCAATCTAATCAGGAAAAGCCTCAATTAAAACTTACTCTTATACAATTATACCATCAATTCAATCAAAATAACAATAATTTTACATGCAGCTAATGCCCGTGCCCCTCCCGTTTCGTCTCGCGACATATGGATCAAACATAGATGACAATTTTAACAATAATGACGGTCTTCTTCGATTTGATTTTGGAGTTTGAATTGTTGGTTTTTGTGGTCTCATAGGCCAAACCAACAGTACTCATGCAAAGTTATGTGCTCTCTTGCATGGCCTTCAGATTTCTTGGGATCGAGGGTTTCGTAGAATCATCTGTTATACAAACTCTATGCATTGTATTTACTCGATCTCTTAGTTTGAAGCATCTTTTCAGTTAGGGCAATAGTTGTTGGGATTTTTGGCAAAGGATGGTGTTGCCCAAGATTCCTCTCGAGATTTATGAGCACCCCCTAGTTTCTTGAGCTTGCCCCCTACAGCTGACGCCATGCATGTTTAGTTTTTTTTTTTCTTTCATTTTTCCTGTTTTATTTTGTTTTATTATCTGAGGCTGAAAAAAACTCTTTGGTATATAATTTACTAAAATAAATAATAGAAACCTTCCTGTGAATGAACAAAAGAAACAAAAACAAAAAGAACAAAAAAATAAAACAAATGTTTATGGGCTGAGCCCAACGTACACGAATAAAGGCAGATAATAAATACAACTCTACTCTCGTATAAACACATCCCTTTTTAAAAAAAATAAAATAAAATATTTAAATTATCCTTTTAAAAAAAATGAAATTCCTAAATTTACACCTCCCTTCCCCGCACCCCCCTTCTCTGCATCTACACTCCACACCCCTCTTCTTCCCAAAGTCTCTTTCCGTTCAATGTCATTAAGCAATATACTTTTACAGTCATTCTGAATAGAAAAAAAGGAAAGGCAGATAATAAATACAACTCTACTCTCGTATAAACACATCCCTTTTTAAAAAAAATAAAATAAAATATTTAAATTATCCTTTTAAAAAAAATGAAATTCCTAAATTTACACCTCCCTTCCCCGCACCCCCCTTCTCTGCATCTACACTCCACACCCCTCTTCTTCCCAAAGTCTCTTTCCGTTCAATGTCATTAAGCAATATACTTTTACAGTCATTCTGAATAGAAAAAAAGGACTAGCCCCACCATAACCAGCATAAGAAATGCTCTTTGCTGATGAAGGATTTGACTCCGGTAAGTATCCTTTATACTAAAGCTTCTTTACTCCCGCCCCTGGTATAAGATCAATATTAAACTCCAACTCTCGTTTTGGTGGTAATCCTGGAACATCATCTGGAAAAACCTCTGGGAATTCTCTAACAAGATCGATACTATTCAACAACTTTTCATTCTCTACACTGATAAAAGATAGGATCATAAACCCAAGAGTTCCACCCTTCAACAACCCATCCACCTGTCCACTAGAAATAAACCTAGGAAAGATTAATCTCTTCTCTGAACAATCTATCAAAATTATGTTGGCAAAAAGTCAATCCATCCCTAAAATCACATCCAAATCAGATAAAGGTAAACAAAACAAATTCACTTTATAACAATGCCCTTCCACCAAATTCACTTTATAACAACGCCCTTCCACCTCCACTGGACATCTCAAACAAACCTCAGAAGTCAAAACAGACCCTGAAGCTGGGGTAGAAACAACTAGATCCACACACAAGGAACTCACAACCAAATTTAACCTTGCCACACATTCATAAGAAATAAAAGAATGTGAAGCACCAAAATCAAATAAAATAGAAATATCATTACCATCAGCTTTGCCCTTTCCCTTTACCAGCTCAGATGACATTTCAGCTTCAGCACCTGTTAAAGCAAAAACACGACCTGCTGCAGTAGGCCGATCCACTTTCTGGTTCTCTTTAGCTGGAGTATTTCTGACATTGCAATCTTTAGCCATGTGACCCACCTTGCCACATTTAAAACACGTATAGTTCTTTGTAGGACAGTCCTTCATCATATATGGGCCTCCATAGATGTAACATCTAATACTCTGAACAACTATTGTGGTAGTAGTCCCCATCAGTTTCTTATTAGCATTTCCAATTTGAAATTGAGATGGTCTCTTTTGAGGATGTTTCCCCCTCCCAAATCCAGATGATCCCTCTGAACCCTTTGCCACTCTATTTCCTCCTTCAAATCTCTCAACTGTTTTTGCTTTTTCAACTAGAACTGGGAACTCCACAATCCCCATAGGAACAATAGTCTTTTTCAGCTCATACCTTAAACCCTCACTGAACTTCCTACATCTCCATGTTTCAGAGATAGTTTGAGAATAGTACCTAGCCAAGTGTTCAAACTTGACCACATACTCTTGTACTGACATATTTCCTTGTTGCAGTCTCAAAAACTCAGCTTCCTTAGCATACCTGGCACTATCTGGAAAATATTTCTCTAGGAATACCTTTTTGAAGTTTTCCCAATTTATCGCCTCCCCTCTAGCCTCCATCATAGCTTGAGCACCTTTCCACTAGAAACTAGCCTCACCCACCAACATATAAACAGCATAAACTAGCTTCCTCTCCTCAGGACAATGCATCACCATGAAGATTTTCTCCATCTCCTCAATTCATTGATCAACAACTTCAGGTCCATCAACACCTGTGAATTGGGGAGGATTCCTTTTCTAAACTCTGACAAGCCTGTATACTCATCAGGTACCTCATCCCTAGCTGCTTCAACTGCAGCCCGGTTAGTCTCCATCTGAGCCAACAAAGTATTCTGTTGTCCAATAACAGTAGCAATTAGCTCCATAGCCTGAGCAATCTGCCGCTCATCCACGCCTGAAGAAGGATTAAAATGGTTTCCCCTACCAACCATCCTAATCAAGATAAAAAAATCAAGGAACCCATGAGTTTACACCAAAACTCATAAGAAATTCCTTTCCAAAATCCATTTCCTCACAATAGAAACATAACAAGACCATTTCCCACAAACCCTAAAGAGACTCGACCAGCTCTGATACCAAAAATGTAACGAACCACCCTAGGCCATCACATCCAGAACCAACCAAAATAAAATAATATATATAATAAAGAAAATATAGCAAGGGTCAGTTACGCTAGAGTGTAAATATACAATAATATATAAATTGTTTCCAACATATATAACATATTTTTATAGCAGAGTCATCATCCTCAGTAATGATTATACAGTAATCCAAAAAGATAATATAATTACAATATTATGAAAGTATCAAAATGAGACACCCTAGGTGCTGGTCAAGCTCTAAGTCTAGTCACCTCTTAAAGCAGTTACCCAAAAAGACTCCTTGCTATCGCAAAGCCTCACACCTGATCTGCTCCCCCACATAGTGAGATCATCACAGTCCACATCATGAAAATATAAGGGTTAGCACATATAAAACCAACCATAGTACAATAAAATAGAATATCATTAAACTAGATATTCATCAATATGTATCCATACCAAGGGAATGACAACATTATAACAAGTCATTTCCATGCCAAATATAAAACAATCCAAAATCTAATGTATACACATCCATGCCAATGCATACATATTTTATGATAATAAAGAATCCATAATCCAATGTATAGAATCCATACCATATGTATACATATTCCACATCCAAAACAAAGTCACACCACTGTATAATCCCATGATGTAACCAACACATCCAAACCAAATGTTGGCCTCAACACATCCAAACCAAGTGTTGATTCGGTGAAACATGTCATCAACCCATGTCTCACACCTAACCTCTCATGGAAAATATACAGTTGGATTACGTCGTCACGTAACCCTGGTGATCGTGGCCACTTCATCCATCGGTATGACTCGGCCTTGCCCCCATACCGGTAGCAAATAGAATACTTAGAGGAGTACTTCAGAATTCACCTAACATCTGAAGTGGTTTATTATATAACCTTTGGAAAAGTTTCACATTGAAATCCGCACCATGGGATTCCCAAATTCCATATTTTTCCAAAGATTATATCTTGATCTCACCAAGAGATCTAATCCATACCATAACCTTACTCCTCTAAGTCCTATTAGCTTTCCAAACCATACACACATATCATATTCCATAATTACATACAAACTTTTCCATAACCATACCAAATCATTCAATATAATAACATATATAATTAAACACCTAAAAACAACCATCAACTTAAACACATGACAATCTTCATATAAACAAAATAGCATATTAAAAAATTATACTACTCCTATCATGCTCATACATACTAGATTAAGTCTTATAAGTACTACCCTTACTTGGATAAACAGGAATCGAAACTAGGGCAGAACCTTCCCCTCTCCCTCCTCTTTTCTTCACTCTGACAGAACTTCCTTCTCTGAATTTCTCTTCCTCTCTCTCCTCTTTTCTTTCCCCTCTTCTCTCTTTCTTTCTCTCTGTCTCCTCTTTCTCTCTCTAGGGTGTCCTTCTCTCAGATTCTCAATTTCTCAACCCCCAGCCCCCTATTTATAGAATTCTGCTTACTTAACCCGGAACGGCCCGTTCCGATAGCGGAACGTCCGTTCTGGGCCTGAAAAATTTACGTAAATTTTAGAACTGGAACGGCCCGTTCTGAAACTAGAACGGCCCGTTCCGGGACTCATCTAGAACGGCTCGTGCTCCTTCCGGAACAGCCCGTGCTCCTTCCAGAACGGCCCGTTCCAAAACCAGAACGACTCATTCTCCTTTTGGAACGGCCCGTTCTCAACTTCTTAACTAGTTTATTTTTGGTGCTTGGAACGGCTTGTTCCACTTTTGGAACAGCCCGTTCCAAATTACCAAAACACCCTATACCTTTATAAAAATTACAAAAATACCATTAATAAATAATTAAAAAAAAAATGGGTATTACAATTACTAAAAATATTATTAGAAAAAAATAAAATAATTATAAATAATTAATTAATAATCAATTTTTCCACTAGTTAACAAAAATCTACTAAAAATAAACCGGTAACATTATATGTAAAAATGAAAGTATGATGTGTTAAAGATTTTTTTTTTTTAGTGTGAATTTCTATCCGTGTTAACGTGAAATCATTAAAAATAGTTGCCTTTAGTTTTCTCATATTCTCTATATTTATAATTATTTATTTATTTATTTTAAATTATAACCTAATTTATTTTAGTGCAACGGAATGGACAATCTGACACGTGTTAGAGGTGAGGATCGGAGATAGTAATTTTATGTAGACGTTGACATGACAATGAACGTGTGGTGTGAGTATTGGGTTACTCATTTACCAATTACCACCCACTTACCATTTTACAAACTTTCCATCAACTTTTCTATTCTCCAATTCGCTCACCATAAACAAACAAACAAACAAAAAAGAACCTAAAAGGGCAGAAGTAAATTTTGCATAAATACAATATTTATAAATATAATTAATTAAAATTTTGTAGATAATATAAAAAAAATTATTATTATTTTAAAGCAAATGTTCAATTAATAATTTTACTAGTATTTTATCTTGTACAATATTAATCATATTAATATATAGGTATTGATTATTATTATTATTTTACAAAGTTGATTTAAGTAATTAAAATAAAAATTATGAAAAAAATATTGAATACATTTAAGTTTTTAAATAAAAGCTTTATACTTTCAATTAATGTTAACAATTAGATCTTATGACGTATTTTTTAGATAAACTTTTTTTATTAAAACAAGACGCAACTCTATCCAAGATGACAATTAAAGGTCAAGCAGCAACTAATGTACAAGTATTATATGTACGAAAGAATTAATGAGTGAATAATGTCCTAATTTGATGGGTTTGTAGGTTCTGTCTTGAGAGTGGTTCCTTCCCAACAGGCAACACCGAAGCCAATGGATTAATTATTTATTATTCCGTGTTGTCTGCACAAAGAAAACAATGGCATGAATGCATGTCCATGAACTTAAGCATCTCACATCAGAGGAGACACAGCCTACAATCTACAAAGGTAGGGGAGCCCTAACCTATAGGATAGGCCTTACAATGTCAACCGTTAGGTAGCAGGATGTAACTTTTGTCTTTGGACGAAGTGGTCCTCCTTCCTACTTCTTGTTGGGTTGGACCATTCACCGCACATGCCCTTCATCACCTCTTCAAAACTACATGGAATTTTGTTTCACAACCATGGAAAGATACCCCTTGTTTGGTCCGCAACAAATGGCTCATAAATAGAAAAAACGTAAAAATAAGATCCATACTTTTATTAATAAAAGAATGAGATATCATTATCACCTTTTTATTTTCACACGAAACAACGCAAAAATACAAAAAAAAATAATAATTATTATTTTACAACGATTTTTTTAATATTATTTTTATAATTTTAAATTTTCTAGGTGTTCTAACCACCAAGATTATTATTTTTTAATAAATATTGGCCGTTTAAAAACTTTTACCAAAAAATTGTATCCAAATAAACACTTGCAAAACATATATAACTTATTCAACTTAATTTTATCATAAATATTTTATTATAATATTTTTTCTATTTCATTTTAATCTACTTATTTTACTTAAACCAAATAACTAAATTTTCTTTATTTTTTATTTATTTCTATTCATTTATTTCTTCTTTCTCTATTTTTTATTTATTTCTTTATCATTACCAAATACCTATGTAATAATCTTTCTTTTCCTTTTTATAATACATAGTATTTCTCAATCGAAAATCAATGACCGATTTCTAGGCATTTAAATTTTATTTAAAGATTTTCTTTTTGTAATGAAGATATTTTATACATACAAAGCTACAAATCAAACCTAATCATCATGATCACATACTAAAAATTGAAAATTTTAATGAATTGGTATAATAATTACTTAATTAAATATTTTACACTCACATATTGTTACAATTTTATTAAGTATAAAAGTTGTTAAATCCCATCATAGACAAAAACCCTTTGAGATAGAGATAATCATAGTATTAGTTAATGATGAATTCATAACTCACTTAATGATGACAACTTATTTTAATAAAAATAATTATTGTATAAAAAGAATAAAATGTAAAGTAAAATAAAATATCTAGTAAAGTAGATGACAAAGTACTAAATCCTAAATTCTAAACATAGAACACAAGGTAAGAAATATATTAGGCGATGAAAGATAAATTTTGATAACAAATTAGAATTGAATTCAAATATATAGGATAGAAAGGATCAAATGCAAAATAAAATAAATAAATACCTATATTTTTTATTTTCTCAAAGTAAAAGAATGCACTTACACACCTTTAAATCAACATAGATCTTCTACTATAGTCATAGTAACGAAATGAGGTTAATTTATAAGTTAATAATCAAAAGAGAAAGTTGTTTCATTTTATCATTATTAGAACATAAAAAGAAACAATAACTACAAATTGATACAAGTGATATTGATTTATATCCTTTAATTAAATTTTCCAAGATTCAAACCTCAAGTATAAAATAAAAAATATTAAAATATATATATATA